AAAACCAAAAAGGTACTTCATATTTAAAATAACACTATTTCCAGATTGTAAAATAACCACTGATGCTTCAATTCTGTTTTCATAAGGTAACACAGGGATTTTGTTTGTTAAATAAACCAATAAACTAGATCTTCTCAAAAATTAAAATAATTAGGGAACATCTAGAAATGAAATACCAGGATTGTTTCACAACTTAGCATCATTATGAAAAATCACGTGATGAAACACTAGGATTGTTCCACAACTTAGCATCATTATAAGTCATCTCGTAATGAAACACTAGGATTATTCTACATCTTAGCATCATTTTGAAACATCTTGCGATGAAGTACCAGGATTATTCCACAACTTAGCATCATTATGAAAGAACTCGTGATGAAGTACCAGGATTGTTCCACAACTTAGCATCATTATAAAACATCTCAATCCTGGTACTTCATCACTGTGTTCATTTTAGACCGTTACAAGCAAAGGAGGGGCTAAATCATAATTCAACCAATAATAGCCAATCTATGTTATAAATCACTTGTCTTTATGGCTAATTTAACCAATAACAGTAATTCTATGTCGGGAATAACTTCAACTTATGACTACTTTAACCAATGACAGTAAATTTATGTTGTAAATCACTCGTATTGATAGCTAATTCAACCAATGACAGATGTTTTATAATGATGCAGAGTTGTGTAACAATCATAGTACTTCGTCACGAGATGTTTCATGATGATGCTAAGTTGTGGAATAATCCTGGTACTTCATCACGAGTTCTTTCACAATGATGGTAAGTTGTGAAATAATCCTGGTACTTCATCACGAGTTCTTTCATAATGATGCTACGTTGTGGAACAATCCTGGTACTTCATCACGAGTTCTTTCATAATGATGCTAAGTTGTGGAACAATCCTGGTACTTCATCGCAAGATGTTTTATAATGATGCTAAGTTGTGTAACAATCCTAGTGCTTCATCACGAGATGTTTTATAAGATGCTAAGTTGTGGAATCCGCTACAATCAGGGTTGAACAACAAAAACAAAACAGACACACAATATTCCAAAAATACCTTTCAATAACAATATCGAGTGACAAACAGAAATAATTTACCACCTGTCTCGTGACTCTCTCTCTCTCTCTCTTTTAGTGTAGTTTCTGGCTGGGTATTTATTCACTGAGTAGGTTATGAGAGTGCAACCTCATGTGATCATAAATTTACATACTCTTCTGCTACATTAACAGTATGTGTACGTACCGCTGGGAAAGCTGCTGTCAGTTTCATCATACATACACGTATATTTACTCATGTTACAAATGATTATGTAGAAGGTGAGTTAGCATTTGAATGCAACTAAAAATTTATAGATAAGTTAAATGACAGAAAGAAATAATAATGAACGATAAACAGAACCATAATTATAAAAAAAAATAGAATTAACTTCACAGTGTATTAACACGACTAAAGACTGACTATTATCAAACGAACATATGATATGGTTAACGTCGGATTCCTCTTTTTGTCTAAATTGTGAACAATTATAAATGTTGTAACGACACTCAGAGCAACATTTATTCTTGCCGGATTTTAGTAGAAACACATTAAAAATCAAATGAATAGCGTATTTTAAAGGCTGCGAAGTCCAGTAATTTCTTTGCGCGATATCACGTGCATGTTCCTCGGTGTCAGCTCTCAAGAAATATATACACTCTTAATTGTTTACAAGTTCAGCTCTTAAAGTGGGACAGAGAAAGAACAGGAGTGGATTCGACTTCCTCTTCTGTTCTTTTTATTTTCATTTCTAGGAACTGAAATTCACGTATAGAAACTACCAAGTGTTCAAATTCGAAATTTTTGTACGGAAAAACGCTGGAATTGTTTCACACCTTCATCTCTTGTAGGACGTGGATGTAGCTTAGAAATACTTAGGTGAGTATGTGAAAAGATATCGATTAAAGTCCGTGTCCCCTCTTTTCGATTTTAAATAAAAATGTGTTTATCCTTTCTATTCCATCGTCAAACTCTTCTTCGTCACGCCGCAGTAACCGTGTCTTGATCCAAGAAATGTAACGATCGGTTGAGGCTACACCTGCGGGGTGAATGAACGGTTGTCGCGACATTAGAAGCCCCGCTGTAGCGTACTGCTCAGAAAAGTTGGGCTGAAGGTAATCACAGAGTCCAAAATAACACAGACTTTTATGTAACGAAGAGATTATTGTTTGCATCCGCTAGTTTATCACTAAACGTCCGACGTCAACTACCTTTTATAACACCAGCAACTTATTCTTTGTCAAATACACTTACTCTTAATGAAGGCTTCAAAGAGTTTTTTAAACTTCTTTTGCTATCGTACGTCTTGTGAAACAAAAAGAGTTAATCCATTGGACAGAATGAAGTCGCTTGGCGGTTTGGAAGTGTGATCTTTTATACACCTAGAGGAAAATTAAAAGGT